CTTGGTGGGCGAGTGTAGGCACGTCACCCTTCTGGTGCGGGGGGTTCGTTTACAATCAACTACCTGACTGCAGAGGGGGTCCTGGCAGAGATTTATCCTCCAGGGCCCATTCTCTGGTGGATTCCATGTTGAGGCGGGGGAGAGCATTTTCCAGAAAGGACCCCGAAAGGACAGAACGAGAAAAGGTTTCTTGTCAACGGATTCTGCAAAAGGATTCTGACGATTTCAAGGGCTGTCCCGCCCCTGCAATTTCCTCCAAGACTAAACATGGGACCTGAAAGACCCAACCAGAAGGTCCCTTTCAGGTAAGATCCGCTCTCCCCTCCCCACACTCCCCACATCTCCCACTCAAAACCTTGACTGCTATTGGGTGGATCTTTAGACTTTAACTTTTTGGGAAAAAAACGGTGTTTTCTACTACACCCCAAAAAGTGAAAAACTTTTTGCAGGGGGTCAACAGCAACCAAGAAGCAGCCTGCGTTTTCCAGGAGGAGCCGCTCAAAAATGGCGGCGGGGCCTTCTCACCGGAGGCCAAAAAGTTGGTGAAGCGCCCGCCGGGGTCTCGGACTTCTTGCGAATGGGTCTGCGGGGCGTTCGTGTTTTCATTTGGGTGTGTCTTTTTTAGGGGGACCCCCAAAATGGTTAGAATCCTAGTGGTTTTACCTGTAAACTTTAAACCCAACTTTTAAAATGGGTTGCGTCTCCTTGAAAACAAGAACGCATGATGTTAGTGTTCAGAATTTGCGGCGCTGGCTGATGATCAAAAGCGCGGCAAGCTCACAATGACTGACGCCATGTATGAGAGTATACCGACCGAATCCGCTTTCTGCGAGACCAAAGGTGGATCATAGCTATGACTTTTCTGTCACAGGGGATTCCCTTGGTATTGCAGAAAGTGGCGCTAAAGCCTTCCTGCCCAACCCTGGTGCGACAAATCACTCAGAAACCCAAACCTTTCTTAGGCGGCCCAATCCTTCGAGCAGAGTTCTTGACACCACAAGACTGGGGAAGCCGACACTGCGCACATGCTCGCACATACGCAAACTCACTCAAAAACAACCCGCTCAAGAGCTGAAGCCCTGTACACATGGCTCCCTTTCCCTTTCCGGGCTCCATGGCGAGTCGCCGTGCCGTTTTCGGCACCGAATGAATTCGGAGACTCGAAGTGTTTGAAGTCCTTAAGCATGAGTCCAAGAAGTGGATACGTCTGAGGACTGTGAACTGCTGCTGCTCCACCTTGGTCTATGACCACGCGACGCCCTGAGTGCGGAAATAAGGCACATGGTTATGGCACGGGTGTTCCCGTTTCATTTGTCGGGCGTCACACGAAAATGTGTCAACCCCGAAAACGGGCTTCCTTTGTACTACCAGAGTCACTGGAAGAGGGGCGAGGGAATTGAATGAATTTGGGCCCAGCCGTCACGCCTCTTGGGGACGCCCATGATTCGCATCTGCCAAATGATAAGCTGCTGCTGAAACAGGTGATTCCAATGTTTATGTGATGTTTGATACTGTGAGGTATGGGCGGAATCAGGAATCAGGGAGGGAAGAATGAGTTCTTCTCAAGTGAAGTAGCAACGTAGCGAGCTCGTCCAGAATGATTCCCCAAGCTTCGGGATTCTTCGTAAACTGCCGCGTGGAGCTGCGAATTGCTTCCGCCCCTCAGGAGGCGGACAGCTTCAAGTCCGAGGCTTGGTTCGAGGACCTGCAGCGGGCAGGACCGGAAGTCGGGTTTCCCTTCAGGCCTTTGGGTCGGCGCCCTGCTCTCCCTTTCTTTGGGGTGGGCCTTGACTCTTGGAACCAAGGAGGGGACTTTAGATGTCTGTTTTTGAAGGATTGCAGCTTCATTGCCTGTGGAGGACGTTTGCTATGGGGCAATGTTTGGATGGAAAATGTTTACTCGTTTTCATGCCCAGCCAGCTCAATGGTTTGTGGGAAATGCATCCCTGGGTTGGTTCCTTCTGTTCTCTAGCAAAGCAAATCCAGGGCCGCCGATGCCCGAAGCCTTCGCATGGCTGGGTGTGTTTCAGCATTTTTGTAGGACACCAGGACACCACCTTCAAGCAGCAGGCAAACAAGCAAACAAGCAAGCAAACGGTCAAGAAAGGAGGCAAGCAAGCATTGAAGTACAGGAAGCAACCAGTCAGGGCAGGCACGCCAGCAAAGCAAGCAACCAAACACGCCAAACACGTAAACCCAGCAAGCAAGAAGATCCCAATAAACCAAGAATCGCACAATTATCCATGAAACGAGGGCGCAATCAGTCAAGAAAAGACGGCCTTCTTCAGATCAGCTTCAAAGCAAACCAGCCCAGGTATCCCTAACCGCAACCCCCGGATCCCTGCGAGCGGAGAGCCTTTTGCCAGGACCGGTGGCCAAGGACGATACTGGCTGAGCCCTGCACGGCTCGGCCGAGCGTAAGACCTAGGGAAACGACGGGCGACTTGAGTGGGTGTGTATTTCACCATGTCTACGGTTTCAGCGCAAATCAGGAGTTTCTATGTTTAAGCTATGTTGCTTTACATGTTTAAGGCTCCAGAAAAAGTATGCTCAGGCTTGGGGAGCAAAAGCTCTGGTAGAAATGGGCACACCCCTAAAGTGGTTATAAGTGGGTTCCGGGGGCCAGGGCTCGTAGAACTCATCCCTGTGGGCTTTTGTCCATGTTTCATGTGACGAAACCCTCGAATGGATTCTTGTTGGTTTCCCAAGCCAACCACAAAACGGGCACCCTCTATGTCCTATGACGCCACTTTAGGGTCTTTCTTGAAACCGGTAGCCAAAAGGCAAAGAGGCCCCTGATTTTGAGCACACCCGTAGAAGTGATTGGTGACCAGACAAACGTTCCGCTTGATAGATAGAATGCCTTGAACCTCAACAGACTTTGATTAATTACTACGTACCGTAGTCTCCATGACATTGATTAATTCTCATCAGACCACCACAGGTATTGCCCAGCTATCCACCGCCATTGCAAGCCCTTCGAGTCAGTTATAACGCTGGTTACTACTCGTGGTTAACTCGGTTGTTCTGCCCGATTTGTTCAAGGAACCCCCTCTTTCAGCGAATGGCCATTGAAATGACCCACGTTGGTGTCACAGCAAGCACAGTCTTGCTACCCACTCGCGTAGCCCGCATCCTTAGGCATCGTTTTCCTCAAATCTCAGACCCACGTGCCGCTGCTGAGCCTTGCAAAGTGAGGCGGCTGGCTGGCGCAGCCGCCTTCTAAAAAGCGAAAGACACGCGTAGTGGCCGGTCTTTGGGTCCCAATCTCACTGTCTCTGAAATTAAGCGTCACCAGGGTCGAATGCGGACCGGAATTCAGCCCATATTGACCAACAAGATTCACCAAATTGAGCCGACATATTTCGGGGATGATCAAAGGGTCCTTTACATGGGATGACCGTGGAAGCCACCAAAAAAGATGACTTCCCCTCTAAATGGGAAAGTTACCTATGGTCATTTTGGGGCGGGAATATGTATCAATCCCCTTTTGTTTTAGTTGTGCAAAATCCGAGATAGAGAGCTGTTGGAAGCCGTTGGATTGTCCCGGCAGGTTGCCTGTTTTGCTCGGGGCAAGGCGCAACGCGCGGCAGTGATGACAATGGAGATGTGTTGAGGGCGAGGGAACAGCGGGACCCGTTCAATGATGACATTTCTTGTTGGCCCATGTCGGGCAGGGGTTTGTTTGAGCTGAAGTGAAGCATGAGTCGGAGTAGCCTGGATCACACAACGCATTGTGACGGCTCGCGCCACACATGAGTCAATCACTATTGGTTGACAGGACGGGCATGGGTTGTTTGGTTGTTTGCGCCCCCTTTGGTTAGGACCCGTGAAGAGAACCAAAAGATCGACAGCGTTCACGGATCCGTAACGAAGTGTTCACCTGTTAAGCAGAGACTATTTGCATTTCGCCCAAGAATTGGTAGAAGGAAAACCTGCATTCCATAGTTACAGGGCGGCAGAAGGGGGATGTTCACTGTGTGAGGTGCATAGGGGGTGAATTGGAAAGCGTTTCCAGAGAAGTAAACCTTGAGATGGAGCGAGTCGAACTGAACTATCTGCCAGAGGCACTCAAAACAAGACTGCAGCTATTTGCAAAGCTCAGTCAATGAATCATTAAATCAGCCAATTTACAACCAACCAACCAGCCAGCCAGCCAGCCAGCAAGCCAGCCAACCCACCGACCCACCGATCCACCAACCCACCGATCCACCAATCTACCAACCCACCAATCCACCAATCCACCAACCCACCAACCCGCCAATCCACCAACCCACCAATCAACCAACCCACCAACCCACCAACTCACCAACCCACCGACCAGCCAGCCAGCCAACCCGCCAGCCAGCCAGCAAACAAACAAGCAACCAAGCCAGTTAGCAAACAAGCAACCAAAGAGCCAAGCAACCAGCCAGCCAACCAGCCAATCGATCGATCGAGCAACCAATCAACAAATCAATGAGTTCATCAAGCAATCAATCAAATCAAATCAAACAACACAATCTATCGATCGATCGATCGATCGATCAATCAATCAATCAATCAATCAATCAATCAATCAATCAATCACAAGTAGTCAGTCAGGCAATGATCAGTCAGTCAAATGCTGGGCTCCAAAACGCGAACTCGGGCCTTGTCATTTTACCATTAGCTGCCCCCCCCCCTCAAGCGCATAGTTAGCTGGATTGGAGGGAGATTCCTACAAAATGACAGATCTAGATCTCTTTCAGGGAATACGACTCATATTAAACAATCCAAACATGAGCAACACCGAAGAGAACAAAAGCCGGCAAAAAGAGACACAAACAGAGACACAGCGGCAAACACAGTCACGCACACACACACATGAGTGTTCCTGCACTTTGCAGGGAAAATGTCAAACAAACGCATAGCCGCATGACAATCAAACGCCCAGACATCAAAAGGAGGAAAAGCAAAGATGCAGTCGGACATCGACGAAAAACGCAGCGGTCAAGAGACCTTTTTGGTGCGCAACCAAGGTCAAGGCATTCTCCCCATGGCCTTTGAGGCGGGGGCATCCAAAGTGGTTTTTTCTTCCCGAGCAGATGGGAGCTGCAACTTGGATGCTTGAAGATGAGTCTGTTACTGTTGGCCCACCAGAGGAAACGTCTAACTTTCCACTTTCCAGATGTTTGACTTTCTTGGGAAGATGGGAAGCCACAGTTTGCACGACACGAGAGTCAGTTGCGGCGGATGGCTTAATGGAAGTAAACCACAAACCATGGTAAGTTGCAGGGCCCTTCCAATATGTTGGCAATCAAACGTGTGGCACAACTTGCAACTTCTGCATTTGTTCTTGATGTCGAGCAATCCAAACGTGCCCTGTCTTGACGCCCCGAGGCGTTTTTCATGTTCTTGAGGAGTGCTCATTTCGGAACGACTGGGACCCTGTGATTTCTTGTTGCCTTTTGATGTGGTAAGCAGTTTCCTCATGGCTTTGGACGTCCCTTACCTCGAGATGAGATGTTCCATACCTCCGATTTTTGGGTCTGGGGGTGACCCATGGAGTCTTCACTTCTTCAGAAGCGCGGAACGTTGGCGTGTCCGTTGCAATCTGCGAGTTGTCACCAGCACACCACGGATTGTATCAAACAGGTTTAGGGATGCATGTGCAGGTTCCTGTCCAGTGGCACAGTGTGCTTGATTCAACATGCACCGGGTCCCGGTCATTGCCAGGCGCAGAGCGGACAGATTTCCACGGAAAGATCCCACAAAGCTTATCACGAAGTGAAGGAAGAAGCCTCAACGCAGGATGGGGACGGCCAGTCAAGCCCAGACTCGTGGTTTGGCAAGGAAAACAGTTCCTGACTTTCTGGAGCTTTCTGTTCACCATCATTCTGTTCGGAAGGCGTCCGTATTCCATGGAATGCCCCTCCCACGAACCGCCCTTAAGGTCGTTCCAGGTGCCATGTGCGTGACACAGAGGGTCTCAGACCGTCTGAAGCCGAAGGCTAAAGATTGAAGGGCACAGCTCGAGTCTTTCCGGAGGTTGCTTTCTAAGGGGCGCTCTGGTCGCCTTTCGCTCAGATCTTTGGACCGCAGCAGAGCTGGCTGCAGACGACACAAGCGCAGTCCGCGCGGCAGCCCAGAGGCCTTGAGCACGGGAGCTTGGCGAATAGAGAAGGGGTGGTTGCAATGGCAGGCCGGTCTAAGCCCAGGAGTGCCAACTATCATATAGCAACAAAAACCATGGCGCCTTATGGGTACTAGGTACAGAAAGTGTTGCAGAAGTTGGAGTACACTGCGACGCAGTATATCCAATGAGCCTTGCTTCGGTGATCGGGCCTTTTGTTCTCCATGACATGCCAATGCCAATGTGTTGCCAACGTGTTGGAGGAACCACTCTTTACTCCAACCCTCAGAGTTTCCTACCCCCTTGGTCACCAAAAATGGAGGGGGGACATCTGAAAAGGTAATTTATACTGAGATTTCCCTTTTGCCAGGTGATTGTTTTCCCTGCTTTTGTTTTCTTTGTTTGCGGGGGTGTTGAACAAATGTATCTCGAACCAGGGCAGGTCTAAGTTTCATTTTTTCAGACCCTCCTCCCCCCAGAAAAAGAACAGAACCACCTATGGGTCCCATCAGACCTCCAACATGTAATATTACATTTGCCACCTATGTATTGAGAATAAAGCGCGTAGATGTTTAGGTGTTAGACACGGGAAAGTGCATATTGAATTATGGGACGTCCAGTGGTCCAGTTGCACAGTGTATACCCTCCGTTGGGAAGGATTGTTAAAAACTCACCCACCACCAAGCTCAACGAGCTAGAAAGAGAGAGGCCAAAGAACTATCAAACGCAGATGTGTGTTAGTTGTATAAATTACAAGAAAAGAAGAAAACACAACTACCGACCTTTGCCCTTCAAAAGGAAGGATCGAGGGCTCTCAACGGGAACTTCTCGACCGTCGCTTGGTGGATGTCCAAGGCTTCCCTTCGGCTGGGCATCGCGCCGAGCACGTTGGCATTGAAGTGGGCTGAGCATAAAGGCCGGGACCCGGCAAGCGGACGTGAAGGTCAGTACAGCCCATGGCTCGCCGTCGGATCCGTTGGTACCCTTGTTTGGTGGTTTTACAGGGGGAAATCCGCCATCTTGGGGGTCCCCGAAAAAGCCACACAACCAGAAATACATATTATCGGGCAGACTCGTTTAATACCAGTTGGCGACCAAAAGTCAAGTGCCAATCGCGTGCCTCAACAGGTCGAGCAGCAACCCAAAAGGAACAGCCTCAACAAAAGGACATGCCAGTTTGCTAGTCGTGGTCGAAGACTCCTTTACTTGGGGTTGGTACGGAAAGTGCTGGACCCCTTCGGTGATGTATGCAAACGTTGTATTGGTTCTCATTAAGGGAACCATTGCGGGGCCATGGAGCATTTATTAAATAGCGCATTTTGCGGATCCACGAGAGTGCCAAATACAAAGCTGCCACATATGTGTGGTATGTAGAAGGTTGTTTTACTCCAGATGCCGTTCCATAGTTGGTGGACATTGTGGTGGATTGCCACTGACCGTGAGTTACCAATCCCGCCTTTTTCAGCGATGCGGGAATCATAGGGGTGATAATCCCACATTGTTATCAAATTGGTATCACAGAAGGGCCATGCTCCGAAACCACGGGAGGGGGGAGGAGTTTGGATAGCGACGGTTGGTGGGGGTTTGGTTCGCCACTGCGATACTCAAACACAAACCATGGCTAGTGGTATTGAGTCAGAGGGTCTCTTTGTTCCCTTTCCCTTACATGCCAATATGTTGGGAACCCTTGTTGAAGTCGTAAATTCACATAGGTATGGGAATCACCCACATCACAAGGGGTAAACTGTTGACTCAAACCCACGGATTTGTTGGGAGGGGGGGAAGTTGTTGGGTGAATAAGCCCCCTTGCATCCCACCTCACGTAGTTGGGTTTCCACCAATCCCCAACCAGCATCCCAAAGGAAACTGCAATAGATACCGCATATACATATATATATATATGCACTGGTTACATATCTCTATAATAATTGAGGTTCACCAGAAAAATATGGTGATATAGTCCAGTTTATTTTGAATATATACGGTAATATATATATATAGATATATGTTATATCTTGGGGCAGTGGTTTGGGGTAAAACCATCTTAGACCAGCCCCGAAGGGAAACTGCAATAGATACCCCATACGTATATATATATACATATACGTGTATTCCCCGACAGTTCGGGTTTAAGCCATTTTAGACCCTTGGGTGTTTGGTGTTTGGGCTTATCAGGCTTCCTGGCGCTGGTGCCTGAGCTGGAGATGCTGGGGCCGGAGCCCCTAGACCCAGCACCCGGTTTCTGGTGGAAGCCCTTTTGGGGTTTGGGGGAGAAAGGGCGAAAGCAACGGAAACAGCTTGGTTTTTGTGATCCCTGATTTTACGTTTGGAGTAGTTTCAAAAGTGTATTTTGGATTTTGCAGTAGTTTCAAAAGGGGGAGATGTGGGCTTACAGGGGTGAAATTGGGTCAGATACCCCTTGAAGGAGGTGGACGCAGAAGCAAGCTTAAAAAGATCCTTCTCTGACCCGCAAAAGTGTTCGAGAATGTCACTTTGGTGGTGGGAAGAAAGTCTGAACTGTTTCTGGAGAATCAACTCAGCCAGCGATAAATGTCAACAAGCGGAAGTACATGCAAGACACTGGTTTTTGTATTATTGTTGTCAGCAACTCTGCTGCTTTAAGCGGCGTCTAAAACGTGGACAACACAATGATTTCTCCAGCTGGATTGGGAGACAGGGGGGTGGGGCTTTTGTTCTTTCACGTACCCTCTGAAGATGCATGTGCCACCAGTGACACAGAAGATGGGGATAAGCGATTTCGTTGATTGCTTTCTTTCCCAAACATGGGTGTGTCTTTATGGAGTGTACCGTGTGTACCCATTGTTTGGTGGTTTTAAAGTAAGCCAAAAGGAAAACCATCTTTCGGGGTCCTCTAGAAGACACGCCCACATGTTCTTCTTACTTGTCCACTTGTTCGGACCACAAAGTTCCATCTTCTGGACCGGTCCGCCGGAGGCTTCGCCATGTTTGTTGGGGTCCAATCGTTCGTTTCACCTGATGTGTTTCAACCCTGGGGTGGCTATAAAGTTCGATTGGGAGTACCTGAAAAAGCGGTGGGTGGACCCAAACGCGAACCACGCGAGCGCCCGAAGGGCCATAGGTGGTTCTACCTGCCTTCATAAAGGTTTGAGGAAGGGGCTACATGGGGGTGTCTTTCTTGGTGGTACCACTTTTGCCAAAAGGAAACCACCCATTTTGTTGGGGTTCTCCCTATTTTGAGGCAAACCCCTCTAAACCAACCATCCCAGAGGCCCATTTCCAGCTCCGAGCACCGTGCCTTCATGCGCCTGCGCGGAGCCCCGGTGCGGCCGTGTTGTTCCGTTTGGGGGCCTCTCAGAGTTGGTTTTCCTTGAAATGCCTTTCTGTTTTCCCATGTCAATGTGAAGACGCACAAAAGCTTGGAGGAAATCCTAGTAGTTCTCGGCATTGACGATGTTTGGGACGCAAACGCCAAATTACCGCAAAGGCCTTCAAACGGGAAACGTCTGCAAATTACCGCAAACCGCCCGGCAAACTCCGGCAACAAAAAAGGACAAAGAAAAGAAGCAAAACACCTAAAACGCCTTGAGAACCAGCCTAAGAATTCCTCGGCATTGGAATCTCCAGTTCAAGATTGTATCTTCCCAACTAGTTTTTCGAAACTAGAACAAGAGTTGAGTCGCCTAACATGGTTGGTTTCCTTTTGTTTCCCTTTAAAGTATGGAAAACCAAAGGGGGTGTACAATTTGGGGTTTTGGTGGAGGTGGTTGTTCCCTTGCCATGTTTTGGGCTTGGGGACCACGGCCTCTTCAACTTTTTAGATTGGACCAGGGAAGGCGGTTTGGTCAAGCTTTCAAGCAGTTTACGATCCAGTTGGGTGTGTTTTTCTGTTGGGGCCCCAAAAGGTCTGGCTCTAGGGGTTGATTCCCCATTCTTTTCAACCATCGTTCTTTTCAAAAACCAGCCGTTCCCCCTGGGATTTTGATGGTTTCCTGCAAAGAAGGATCCCTGGAAAGAATGGGGAAGGAACCCCCAGAATGGCAGCTTTCCTTGAAAGGCCACAAGGGTGCCAACTCAAAAAGCCATTTGGGGGGGACAAAATTGGGCCCTGAATTTCCCCGAGACCAAGGAGCTCACCATTTTTCCTGGCCTTTGGGCAGGACTTGAAAGACAGTTGCTGTATTTTTTGGTATTCTCCCCAAGATCAGGGACCCAAACTGATTCTTGCTTTCCTTTTGGTCATTCCCTTTCACCATCTAAACAATTGTGGCCCTTGTCCAATTTGAGGTTGATTGAACATATCTAGTCCCATTTGAGGTTCGGCTAGCGAGCCCAGCATGTCCCACAAAATACGGGGGGCCGAAGCCTAAGCTTCCAGCGCCCAACGCAACCGCACGTGTTGACCGGCTCAATTCCCAACCTGACAAACCAGGTGCCGTGGCGATTCTCCGCTGTGCTAAATGTTTGAAAGAAAGCTTTGCAAATAAGATACAAGCATGCAATTGCATCATGCTACTACACAACACGCATACCAACTGCGCACGCAGAAGAAGGTACAGGTCAAGTCTGACAAGTCACAAGCTTTCTACACTGCTAGCTGGGTATAAGAAGGACAATGCTCCCCCAAAAGCAGCTTCCTCTAGAAATGAAGGCTTTTCGAGTTCCATGTATATCAATCTGCAGGGCCGTTCCTTCCCCTTTTCTTTGAGGTTGACGTTGATAGGCGAGGGGGCCGGGCGCAGGTATCGTGAAGCGCCGCCAGTGGAGGACAGGGCCTCAGACTTCGGATCCTGCGAATGTGTATCCGACAGGAAGCCGTATGGGTGTGGTGTCTGTGTGTTTTTTAGGACCCCCCGAAAAATGGGTGGCGTCCTTTGGGTTTGCTTAGTGTCAAACCCCAAAAGGGGATCCGAAACAGGAAAAAGGAAGAAGACGCCCAATATAGGGTCACCCGAGGCAAACCCACTTGCTGACGCAGTGTTTTTTGGGGACCGGGCTCCTGTTAAACGTCAGTCTTAGATGCTCAAAATTACATGGTTCCCAAAGACCCACCCAAAGTTTCGGGAATGAACCGCTGGCCCCCTAAAAGGGAAACCCCTAAATGCCACGGTTGAAAATGGTTGGCACTGAAAATCTTCCAACAAGGGCTTGTGCACTTCCATGTTTGGAAGAAATAAGGTGTTTGAACCTCCTAAAACAAGAGCACATGCGGCCTGCAGAAGTCATCTCAAAGGGTTGGCTTGTTCCAAAACAGCCGCTTCACGAGGCAAGCAGGCCAACCCACAATCCAAGTCCTGAACGAGCAAGCGCGCTTCTGTGTCAGGTTGTCCAAAAAGGTTCCAAAGGGCGGCGTTGTAGACCCAGCTCGGGGCAGAGCAAGTCCGAAGTCCCGTTCTGTTTCCGACATCTTGAACATATGTCGCACGTTCTTCCTAAGTGACCGTAACCCGCAGTACCATCGAATCCATTAGAGCGTCTTCTGATGAAAACCATATCCCAAGAATCTCCCTTGATCAAACTCCACGTTTCTTGGTGGGTCCCATTGCTTCAACACTGCGTCGTGTTCTACGTTTCAAACGTTTTGTTTTGTGAACCCTGGGAAGACAGCTCTGAACAAACTCTGACAGGATGTTTGCTGCAAATCATGCAGGTGTTATCACACCGAATCAAGAACAAATACAGGGAGCCCAATAGAAAACCACTCTTGTCTTAGGTATCCTCATTGTGAAAGGGCCACACCTGTGCACTTCCTTCCGTTCGCTGGGCCGACCGGCCTTTGCACCGGCCCAGCTGGACCTCCCAACGCAAAAGGTGCCAACCCTTGGAGTCCTCCCACTTTGGGAGGGACAAGGTGTCGCATACAGAACCACCGGCTCTATCTTGCTAGCATCATGTCGCAAGGTAATGGCCGTGCGCTCGAAAGTCTTGCCTCTAGCAGCCTGACCGCCCGGTTGAATCCCTGAGCTAGCATTCAGCTACTTGGTTCATTCAGCTACTTGGTTCTTGTGGGCATTCGGCTGATCTGGGGATTGTCAGCGTCTATGAACGTACACAATTCGTTTGTGTGGTATCTTCCGTAGGGACCTCCCTGCTCCCAGCTTCCTTCGCCGCCTCCGACACCCCTGGCCGCTTTGACGCCATGAAAATTGAGCGGCTAGCATTGCATCAGTGGGGAACCCCGAAATCCTTGGGCTGGCCGTTGGACTTCTTTCGGAAACTCGGCGGCTTTTTCTCCCTGGACCCAAACAAAAAAGGCTCCTGAGAGCCTCTCCGTTTTCAGAGAGTTGGAAAATGGGCAGGCACCGAACCCTGGGGCTCGAAAAGGATCAGGTGAAAAAACTATGCCAAAAACTCCCAAGCTTCTTTTGTTTTTTGGGGGAAGCCTTCCCCCTTTGATGTACACCTCCCCCTTCGATCCACGGATGTGTCCTTTGAGGGAACTGCGGCTCACGGCGCGCTCGGCGCGCTCGGCTCCTGAGACCTGCATGGCGGTGCTGTGGGGCACCACCATGGGCGCCATCCCCTCCGTGGCGGAGGCGAGTCGATATGAGACGGGGGGGGGGGGCTGTTTGCTTTAGGGGACCCGCAAATTGGTGGCTTCCCTTTAAGCCGACCCAAACGAACAACAGGGACTGGGGTTCCTTTTGGTGTCCCTTTTTAACCCACCCAAACAAAAACACGCAAGGTGGGTTTCTTGCTTGTTGTTTGAGGCTCGGCAACCTTTTCAGGTTGTTAAACAGTTTCTTGGGACCCCTGTTTTGACACAGACCCATGTTGGAGAGCCAGTGGAGCTATGGGAATAAATGTTTGGTCCTTTGGCCCATTTCGGGAGTCACTCGGCTGCAATGGCTTTTCTTATGGCTCTGTACGTATTATGAAAAAGGACACAATCTGAGAGAATATAGCAATCAAGCATGCTGCCTTGGGCTGGTAGTTTAGAGTTGTGGACGTCTTAGATCACTTGTGGGTAAAATGTTCGCCCCTTGGCCCGTATGGGCTTCTTTCATTGCGATCGTGGATTGGGCAGGGGGCGCTGGAATTTCAGGGTTCCATGTTCCCTTCTTCGCTGTCCGCGTTTGAGGTCGCGGTGCTTCTACTTTGCCAGCGCCATTTTGCCATGGGTCAAAATCCCGTACCCCCCGTGAGCATCCCAATCCCCACTAAAATAGGTTCTAAAATGGGTGGTGCATTCACCTACCAACCAAAATGGGATCCCATTGGTTTTGAGCCACAGCCATTTGTCTTCGGTCAGCTTTCCACCCAGGTCCCCGTGTTCTCCCATCGCCAGGCCAAGCCGCCAGCGGTCCGCCCACCCAGGACCGCACTGGAAACGTGGCCTGAAAACCGCCTTCGGAAGCCGATGCCAAAGGGGGTCGATCCCGATGGCCAATTTTCCTATCTTCAGCACGCATATTATATTTGTCACAAATATATGGGCAACCCTGCCGCAAGGTGAAGAAGATTAGAGGCCGCTTGATGTCCCTGCATTCCATTAGAGCTCCCAGCAACGGGTTGAGGCTTGTAGTCCCGGTGCCGGGACCCCCAAATGAGTGATCAGAAGCCGCGGCTTATGGCCCAAAAGGCTTCCTGTTTCTAGTTTTGGCATTGTTTTTCCGGTTTAGACTTCCGAGCCCTGCCCAGCCAGGTCTTGGTTGAATCGCTTCTGTCTCTGGAAAACCAGACTTCCACTTGATCCCAGGCCTAGCATGACCTGCAAGCCTCTTTCTGGACCCCTTGAGCCGGTTTTTCAACTGAGGTCTTCGGGTTCCACATGCGATGCCGGGCTGAAGTTGGACGGGCCCGTCCTTCGTAGGACACTTCCAGTGGAGCATCTCCACCTCAACCTGGCCAAGCTGCAGCAGGCGCCGGCGATGTCCTGATGGTGGGCACGCGGGACCCACAGTTCCGAAGACAGAACAGCAGGGCCTGCTCTGTTTTTTAGACGTTCTTGTCGCAGGTGGAAGTAACAATCAAGGCCGGCGTCCGATTTTTGAGCAACCGAGCTGCAAACTCTGGCATCTAATCTGCGGACATCGTTGTTCGGTGGCATCCTGCAAGTCTCCTCTTTGGTTGGCTGTGGAGTTCCCTTTCCAGGTCGCTGGCTGGGCAATCCAAAATTTCAAAAGCCTCTGCCAGAAAACACGCCTGACATTGAAAACTCGAAAAGTCGATCCTGGAAAGCCAGAAGGAGGAAGGCAATTTGCTCGCTTCAGCCTCCAGGGAAGGCTCCAAGCTGGTTGCATCCCTCTAAAAATGGCCCTCCCCGCACTGATATTCCAGGGCTTTGGGTCTGGTGGGCTTCCGGGTGCGTGGGATATGTTTTTCCAAGAATCTTCAGCACGCCGGACGTCTGGGGACACCCAGAAAACATCCCTTGATGTCGACTTATGAGATTCTCAGGCGTGGGAGTGCATCCAGCTTGGGAGTATTTAGGACCTTGTTTGTCCAACTTTTGTTGATCTCCATTGCACAAGGGCCCGAAAGCCAGTTTGGGGGCGTCCTTCACAGACCAGCTGGTCTTTGGATGGCTTGGGACGCGTTTAAATGTGTTGCTCGATGCCCTGAATATCCCCCAGAGGAAACGAAGACGTTCCTGCTGATGTTTGCCACACCTGGCGGAGGAAGTGAGTGCTTGGGATCTGTTACAGGACAGCCCCAAGCATAGCTTGATGCCACCGTTTGGTTCCAAAAGTCGGTACCCGGTTTTGGTCAACACACCTGCCCAAGTTCTTCCAGTTGCCAGCAAGCAGGCGTTTAGCAGGCTTGTTTACCTTCAGGCTTTGCGTGGTTTCCCTTGGTTCTCGATAAGTGAAAGTGGGAGAGGTGCCTTCACCCCGAACCCGACACGGCGAGGTGCAGGCTCATTCTGCCAGAAGAGCGCCGCAGGCCGAAGCTGAACCCACCCCTCGATGTGAATTACAGGCGGTTCGAATCGCCCCTGACCCAGACCTCTGCTGATGCATTTGCCTCTTGTTTCTTTGAAGGAAGGAACGCTTCAGCATCGCTCGTGGCCGCTGGTCCGGGATGAGTTGTTTTTGCTTGGGGGAAGTCCTTCATTCAGGTTGGTGAGTTAGAGTCATGGGTGCAGGGAATACTTTTGCTACACACCCATAGTAGAGACGCTTGGCGACGTGCGCGGTCAACATATTTAGCGGCCACTGGTCAACTTGGGGGACATTGGGGGACGAACCAATGGTCTCACTAGCTTCCCCATGTCCATTGGCTTTGTCTCCAAATGGCCAGCTTTGTATGGAACCCGTGAGATGCGTCGTTTCCCTTTGGCTTTACAAGGGCCCCGCAAGTTCCCATGCGTTCATGCTTATTCACCTGGTTTCGCAGGATTTCTAGATGTGGTCATGGATCCTTTGATCGCGGGAGCCGTAGCCAACCAACACGTAGCTTTCTCGGGAATCCTGACCAGAGTGGCACATGGAGACCACCAGAAAGCGTTCAAAGCGTACAGGTGCACTATTGTATGGCTATGGCAATGCTTAAGGCAGCGCACAATCCCAGACCAGTTAACGTTAGGGTCCTTTCCAGTATGAGACTCGGCGTTTGGGCCGCTTGTCAAAGGGATGGGCACTCGCAGGGGGGGGGGGGTTGTCAGAATGGTGGACCCCCTTGGTTGGCGTTGAAAGGGAAGCCAAAGGATTCCACACGTGTTTTTTAGACTCCCCTATTCTGAGAAACAACCATATGGGCAGGCGGTGAAACCTGTGCCAAAAGGGCCAGGTGCCATTCTTTTTCAATTGGCAGCCCAAGGCTCCAGCAAAACCAGCTTCAACTCTTTGACTTGGGACGTGTTTTCTAAATGGGGACAGAAAGTGCACACTGTCACTTCCGAGTTTTTAAGAAGCCAGCCTGTCCATGATCCCCAAGCCTCTATCTCACAACCCAGATCGCACTTCACACGATGAGAAACAGCCGATTGTTCATTCACTGCAGGGCGCTTCCCACAACGCAAGGGCGCAAAAGAATTGCTTGGCGTCACAACTAGAAAAAGCCCATTTTGGGACTGCTGGCCGGAGAGCGGAGCAGCATCCCTTGCCAGACATGCAAATGAAGACACCTTGCTACCCACCTTGCAGCCCATGTTGTGCCCCATCTTTCCTTGGGTGTGGCTTGGCAATGCGTTTGGGACAATCTGATATTGCCAGGGGAAGAACAGGTGGAACCCACGGAAAGCGCAGCCAAGCTGTTTTCCGGTGCCTGGTGGGTTCCATGTCAGGAGGGTACCCTATGGTTTGGTCAAAAGTGTGTTGGACAGATGGAGATGGCCCACACATTTCCCGCGAGGCTGCGCCAAAGGAAGTGAGGCACCAGGCGGGATCAAAGACGGAGCGGTAGGGAGATGTGAGATACAAACGTGCCATCTACGGGCGTGCTATTACCAGGGAGTGCTGTTGAGTTGTTCGGAATCAATCCTGATTCCTTTGCGACAGTTCCCTTCTAACAATGTCCCACTACAGACTACAAAACAAAATCAATAATACCGGCAACCCCCCTCCCCTCCCCATCTTGAGAGCAAAGTGCCGAAGCAGACGAAATAATGTAGCGATTCCCTGACCCTTTGCTCAGGCTTTGCCAGATATGCGGCGCCGCGCCGGACAGGCACAGCCAGGCCTGGGTCAACCCTTTCGACTCGGGGCTTGTGAGAACATTCCGGTGACAACACGCCAATGGAAGAATGTTGTGCTAGGACTAGCTGCAAAGAACACTAGTGGGGGTTGCGGGGTCTTGAAACGCCAAGCATGTTTTTCATCGTACCAGGATCAGGTCTTACGACCTTTTTCCGATATGCATAGCGAAGGGTTCCCGTTGCAAGTGGGAGGTCTGGTGTTCGCGACGTGTTGCTGAGTTGAAAAACCGTCCGCCACCCTCCGCAACCCGTTGGGGAAGGCTCAGCTGCGATGTGCATGGCTCGTAGCTGTTGCGACGTTGCACCTTGTTTCGCCGCGCGGGCGCGGTGTTTTGACAGGTTGCGCGATAGCGTCGCCACGCCAGTGCGATTTGCGTGGGGATTCTGAGGTGTGTCGCTTGGAATGCGCGTGCGAGCGTTTGCGCTAGTCAATCGGCTCGTGTTGGTGAGCCTTTTGTTTTTAGATCGGTCGAAACCCAGAATGTAGGCGCAGTCAACTTGTCATGACAGGCGCGCTTCAGAGCTTTTCACGCAGATTGTCTGGCAGGCACAGCACTTTTGAGCCTGACTGCGACTTTCGTCGCAGGGGCAGCACTTTGGATGCCAATTTCCTAGCGGGCGCAGGACTTCAGAGCTTGCTGTGCAGATTGCGTGGCAGGCGCAGCACTTTGGAGGCCTTTTCCCACCCTTCAGGCCACTAGGCAACTGGGGGAAGCAAACCAAGCAGCCAAAACACTGCACCCATCAAAGCAACATCCTCAATATGACCCTCTAATTTTGTGATTAAAAGGGCAGCTGCCCCACAAGTCATTTTGCGGAACCCTCAAAATTCAAAACGCGTGCCCAAAAACGTCAGTGGCTTTGTTTTTGTTTTCGCTCCAACCACCAGCCGGGGTTCCTTAAAGGACGCGCAAGGCCCCCAAGGCCACGCCCCGCGAAGCAGTGAGGTGTGGTTTGGCGCGGCGAGACGGCGCAGCAGCGGCTCGCCATCGCGCCCATCAGCGTGGGTCTCAGTCTGTCTGACGCCGTCTGCCGAATTTGTGGCGAGCTGATGTCGGGGCAACACGGGATTTCTCTATCCGTCCTTTTTCTGGGATCCCTTGTTTGTGGAATACTTGTAGTTTGGGTCCGTACTGTGGCTGGGCAAAGCCCACTTCGCATCCGTTGGGATGGCTGAAGCCCTCTGAAGTCACATGCAATATCAAAAACAGGACTAGTAAATTCATCTGGGTTTTTACACTCAGCTGATTTGGCAAAGGCTTTGGTGTCCTTTTCGTTTCAACTGAGCTGGAGAAGGGTACGAAGAAAAAATGGGCTCGAGGACGCTGCACTCACCCTTCATTTGTTTTTGTTTGTTTCGGGCTTATGTTGTTGCTTTCTTCATTTTAAGCGGGGGCAGTAAAGAACAGTTTTTTACCAACACTTGTTTGGTTTCTTTGTGTTTCCCTATTGGTCCCCTATATAGAATTCAACTTGGAGGGCAAGTCTGGTGCCAGTTTCCCGCGGTAGTTCCAGCTCCAATAGCGTAAATTCAAAAATTGTTGCGGTTGAAGAGCTCGTAGAAATTGGATTTCCGAAGCGGGTGTTCGTGCGATCATTTACTTTTTGGGGGAACACCCCCCTGTCAAAATCGGACATGAGTTGTTAAGGGACATGTATGGTCCAAACATGAACCCCTGGCATGAACCATTGCCACATCGAGCAATGATTGGTTACGGTTGAAACCAGCCACCAAAGGGGTCTTCATTCTGGACGAACTACAACGAGCTCACCTGCGGAGAAAAAACTATCTTACCCTTGATGCAGGTCCTTTGGGGATCCCAGATTTCTTAGTTTCGGATCATAACAATCTCCCAGAACAAAGCGGAGATTAAAACAAACGCGTAAGCTTTGTGCACGCGTCCCACGGTTTCCCTTGTTGGGTAATCGGAAATTCATGTGGGCATGTGTCAAATCCGCGGGGGGGGGGGGGGGGGCAAAAAAGTCGGGTCGTTTCCCTTCGGTTTCGCTTACTACACCAACCCAAAAAGGCGCACCCTCAAAACAAAAACACGCAGAGGGAGCCCCAGGTTTTGCCCATGCCCCAGGCCCGCATGCGAGCCCGACGAGTCACCTGGTGGAGGCACCGGAGCGGATCGCAAGTCGGGGCGGTGTCCCCTTCGAATCAAAGGGGCCTCTTTTTTCCGGTGGCCACCGGAGGGTTGGGAAACCCTGGCAACAGGGGAGGTATCCTCAACAAACAAAGCACACACACACACATACACACACACACACACACACACACACACACACACACACACACACACACACACACACACACACACACACACACACACACACACACACACACACACACACACACACACGCACACACACACACACACACATTCATTCCGGCCATCAACCATAAGGACCTGAGTGCGCGATGAAGGTTTGGGGTTAGTTGGATTGTAAGTGGATCGCCCACCCGCTGAGAGATGGTTCTGTGCAGTTCATGGCCAGCTCACTTTGATGAAACTGACCGGTGGTGCGCAAATACCGGTGGATCCCGTTCAGAGTTGTGCTTAAAAGAGAGAAGAAAGGAAGTCAACTGTCTTTGGGCGTCCAGTTTCCTATTCGCGGAAACGCCCACTTGAGGTGGATCACCCCGGTTTCTCCATGTTCGTATATGCACAGTGTTTCTTTGTTTGTTTTGCTTGGTTGCTTGGCTGCTTGGCTGCTTGGTTGGTTGCTTGCTTGCTTGCTTGCTTGCTGGCTGGCTGGCTTGGTTTGGCTTGGCTTGGCTTGGCTTGGCTTGGCTTGGCTTGGCTTGGCTTGGCTTGGCTTGGCTGGCTGGCTGGCTGGTTTGTTGAAATTGTCGGTGTCCCTGTAGGACATGGTACGGCAGTGATGTCCAAGCGTTGAGATGTCTTATATCCTCGGTATTAGCTCTGGCAAGTCAAGAGTTGTTTTTTGAGGGTCCATCCTACTCCAAATTCAACAGTGGAGTCAATGCGGGCGGGATCAGGTAAGAGACAGGAGGTATTGAGAGGTAAAAAGGTTAGGGGTAACCAGCACCTAGCTTTGACGCAGAGCCAGATGGCTCCAGAGGTATTAACAAGCTTGAAAATGCGTAAAGCGAGGGCGGTCGCGGAAATGAGATTGGCTCAGTTCCCAAGTTTTTGGCCAACAGTTTGGAAGGGGAAGGCGTTTCCCGTGTGTCTCACAGAGGGAGCCCCCTAGGTTTCAACTCAAGAAGACCGTATTGGCTTTTTGGTTCGACGGTTGATTGTTGCAAGAGTGGCTTCCCCACTTTCCGCTAGCAAAAGCTCAACTTTTTGCAGGGGTCCTTTGCGGAGCCGGGCAGGATGAGTATTGCCTCCCCTGGCCAGAGGCGCAGGGGGGGGTGCAAAGCCGCAAATGAGTGGCTCACCAATTTGTTTCCTTTGCACTTGGCGAATTGGGAACATCCAGAGTCAAGGACCAGTGAGGGTGCCCAGAGCTAGTTGCAGTTGGAGGGTGCTTGTGCGTACAAGGGTTGGGGAAGGAGCACTTGCAGGCCAGCAAAGCTGCCTGACTAGGAGCCGTAAATGGGGGTCCCTTTGATTCCGAAAGGAGGCCAAACAGTCATATTGGCCTTGGGAGCAGCAAAGGGCTTCGCTTTTGGCAAGGGTCCGTGCGCAAACGTCAGCTCGAGCACCAGAGTTCTGTAAGAACAGTCGGATGTGGAGGGAGGGTCGTGCCAACTCCCCTTTCCGTTGCAGGAGCCAGAAGGTTCCAAGACAAAGGCATTAGGTTCCGGCAATAAGGAAGCTAATCTACAAGGGGATGAATTTGGGTTTTCCTCATGGCCCATTGGCCAGTTCAGGGTTTGAAAATCGGTCCAGTTACGCCTGCTGTTTGGTGGATGTTCCCCTTGGCAAACCCCTTTGAGATTATTGCACTTCCTCAGCAACTGACTGGTTGTGAGGTGAAGATTGCTGTTTGCCCCCCCTCAAGTAAGAGAGCGGGCACTCTGGCAAGCATTGTGTTCAATACAAGTGTACCAGAAATCATGAGACTGTCGTGTCCAAAAACATTGGTTGCGTACAGTGCCCTGCTTGATCTTCCCCAGCCCCGACCAGCAACTTCAATCCCAAGAGAAGCTCCTACAAATCCGTATTTGCGGAGAGTTCCTTGATGAAACCGCCAAAACTGCGACCCTACCCAAATTGCCATAGGAAACCACAAAACAGGTCCCCGCAGAGGGAGATTCCGATCCTAAGGATGGATGGGCTGTTGTTGGTTTCTGCTGTTAATCTACATGGGAGTACCCTCCCATCCAACATGGAACCTGACTGGGGGTTCTGGAAGACCACATTGACATGTTTTGTCATTTTACTCGCTCCATATGGACCTGAATCAAGTAGTTGTGGGTGTTCCACTAGACGGAAGGTATCTCAGGTCCAAACACGGAATCCTCGACGCGAGGAGCCCGAGCAGTCCCCAGGCTGGGCATTTGGGGGCCGTCAGAACGGCCAAAACATCGAGATACGCGCCGAGCAAAGCCGCAATAGTTGGTCATGTTCTCTTGGAGGTGTGCCGACCTCCTTTCTTTGGTGCCTTCTGCTTGGATGTTAGGACTTTAACCTTTTGCCAACTAATGGGTTTTCCATTAAACCACTAAAAGTTAAACTGTTAGCAGGGGAGCAGAAAGCAACCAAGGTTTAAGACGACCTCATCGAACAAGTGCCGTGCCTTTCTTTGAAGGGAATGGTTGGAAGACGTTCAACCGGGCAAAGAGCAGCTTGAGGCTCTTGGCCCCGGAGGACTGGTTCATCAATCCCTTAGCTCACTAGTTGGTAGGCGAATTGAAATGCCTCCATAGGCGTTCCATGTGAAGTCCAGTCGGGGTACCATTGTTTGGATTTGTTTAAGTAGATAGCTTTGCAAGCAGTCAATAGTTACCGTAATGTGTAGTAAAATGTAGTAAAGGGGAGGACATGGACATGTTTTGTTTACAAAATGATCCTGCCAGATGGGGACACGATAAATTTTGGCTTGATCAGCGAGCCTACCATCTGACAAGAACAAGTCCTCACCCTTTTCTTGGACCTCTCAAAAGACATCATTGCGAATGTGAAGGTTCACTAATGTAGACAGGGCCGGAATCTAAAGATGTTGGCTGGATTTGCGGGTAAAAGCTGAGATAGTTTTGGAGATTGGCATGGAGACATCAGAGCAGTCGAAGGTGAATTGGGTATGGGTCAAAATTTAACCATCAGGGGATCGTAGGTTTTAGTCCTTGGTTCCATTTAGCAGGTATCCATGTTGGATACCTATTTTGGACCCACAACCAATTTGCCCAACCTCCATTGGGGAAGAACAGGCGGGGCTACGCAAGTTTACTCAACAATTGCCCTTCAAAATGTGGCTTAAAGGGAAACAACCCCGAAGCTCACTTTAATGCACTTAGATTTACGAAGACAGGTGGGGGTGGCCAGTTTCGGGCGGTCACGTGAGGCTCGGTCAAGTTCGGGGCATGTGTCCAGTCGCTAAATTTGGGTTTGACAGCGGGGGCTCGCAAAATTGCCAGAGACGGGGAGAACTGTCCCATGTCCAGTAAGGGTAGCGTCAGCATCAAAGCCGGTTTGAGACAATGCAAACTGGGGGGTCACCCTTAACTGGTGGTTTGGATTGGTGGTTTGGGGATACCCAACCGCCCATCAGAGAACAAAACCCCCCGATCTGGCAGGGCCCGTGCCAGCTGCGCTGCGGCCTGTTCCTCCCAAGAGGTGCCGGGTCTGGGTGGGATGGGGGTTCTGACTCAGGCAAGACTCGTTTCAACACCTTGCTGTTCAGTGAGTGGCACTCTCTAAGGCGCTTTTTTGTTGGGTAAGTTCGAAAATGGTTCCATGTTTTGGCCAAGGTCGCATTGTTTTTTGGCCAGGGTCGCTGTGCAACCGGGGGTTCGCTGTTCGGGGAAGCCTGGAGTTTGTGCTCTTTTTTGGCTAAGGGGTCGTTGAAGGGTCCTGAGAGCATTTGAGAGCGTTTGCAGGGCCCTCAAGAAAGGTACCAGCTCAAAGGGAACCATGTCATTCCTTGGATCCCTCCGCGCCCGCAAGGCTGGTGGCCTCGTTTCACGGGGATCCGTGAACTGGCCGCTCAGTTTTGATGACTGGGCAATGGCACTCAAGATGTCAGTAAGTGATTGGAAACCATTCCACCTCAGCGATCTTCGACACATTTGTTAGTTATAAGGTATGGGGGTGGATCAAAATGTCTGGCCCCAAAATGAGCATGGATCGCTTCTCCCATTTGGTGAATGTCGTATCTTTTTGGGTGGTTTCCCAAAGGGTCACCCCATGACCGGACCTTTTGATCAAGCCATAGCCATGGTTTGTTCACTGGCCATTGCCTCCTCGAGGACCCGAGGCAACCAGGGAGACCCAGGTGCCACTTGGGAGAGACAAGGCCTGGTCTTAACCAATCTCAAGCTTGTCCCGACCTTCAGTGGCCCCTGGACCAGGGTTCTTTGGGTGTCCATAACATCACACTGTATGAGATGGAGATTGCAGACCAGCTGGCCCAAACAGGTTGTGTTTAACGACGTGATGCGCCCAAAAACACGTGTCAGCCAAACATGGTTGCCAAGCAGCGACTGTCCACTCAGCAGGACACCCAGAGAAAGGGCAACCGTGTTTGCTGTTTGCAGGTTTTTCATAGTGGGCAACTCAGAGTTTCAGATGAGTTTTTGTCTTTGCACCCCTGGTCGCACTTTTAATGTCTGAAGAGCAAGGAGTTTTGACCGCCAGATCCGAGCCGTTCGGCCGTTCATGGCCAGGCCGGACAAGCCTTCGCCCAGACCGAAGAGGCCACGCGAGGCGCTGTTTGCGGGCGAGTTGGCGCGGGGCTTTGCCCCGACAAATGGTCTGTAGTGGTTGTTCGGGGGGCTCCAGCCGTAAACCCCTGTTTTGCTTGCTGCTGGGTTCCTCTTTGGAAATGTCAACCCCAAAAGCAAGGGTTCCCTTTCCCTACCAAGAGCACTGGGCAACCAGGCAGTGTGTTTCCCGTTCGGGGCAGAGATCGGCTTCCGGGGAATGCTAAGCTCCTTTTTCAAGGGGTGTCGGTCCAGGTTGCTGTCCGGACCCTTCAAAATGAACATGTGGAGGGTCGCAGTTACTTGCTGCGTTTCCTTTTCACCGCAGGGCCAATAAGATTCCAGCAAAGAGTCGACACGACACATTCCCCGTTACGTTCCAGAGTTGAAGCTCGCGACTCGCTGTTTGGCAAGTTGAAGCGAGTGGGCGGACCCGTGCGTAGTGGTTTATGGCCCATCGGGAGTAGCGGTTCTAAGGCCCATGGAGTAGTGATTCGGCAGCTACTGGTTTGGCGCCTTTGGGCGTGGACAATTATATGTAGACGTATAGAAATGTTGACTTCTGATGAATCTGGAGGACCAACCTGTTCAGCGGAATCCCCCCGACTAGAAAGGGAAGCCCCGAATCTCAGCACTTTGGGGAGATACACGTCGAAGTTCGAAGACACCCCTTTTTTGAGCTTGGTGTAAAGGGAAACCAACATGACACCAGCCTGAGGTTCTCCCATTCAGAGACAAAGCCATACCCCGTTCGAAGCTGGCAATTTTAGCCAGGAGTCTTTAAACTTGCTTCGTTGGTTGAACTCCCCCATTTGGGCCATTTTACACCTGATGTTCCTTGTGGGGGTGATGTTGAAAGAGGACATCAAAGGGACCCTGCCGGAGTTGGGTTTTTTTTTCACCGTCCAGGTGCTGGTTGTCGCAACTGGGGATGGCCCTGTCAAGACAGAGCCCGACTTTGCCTACGAGAGCCTCTTCGCTCCGTGGCTGGCAGGGGTTGGGATTGAGAGCTCACCTACCACTACTCCCCTGGTGAAATTGGAAGGCGACTCAGCTCCCCACCATTTTGCGAATATTAGTGGCCATCCATGAGTCCTCTTGAAAGGGTAAGCCCCGCCTCTCCATGTAAGGCACCAGTTTGATTTGCAAGGCCCAGACACGTTGGATTCAGTGATCCCAACAAACAAAAGCCAAATCATGAACCGGGGGACCAAGGGAGCCGCTGTGGGTATTTAACGTTGCCAGCCTGCGGGACTGCCAGACTTAGCCTGCCTTTGCGAAGAAGGCAAACCATGCCTCGCAAAGGATCTAGTTGTGCGACCTCCGCCCCCAAGGTTCCTTTCTTGCGGGGCCGTATATCAGGTTGATGAAAGCTAGTTATTCCCCCAGAGCCTTTGATTTTGTTGCCCACATGGACTTGCAATTTGCGGCCGACTTCTTCCAGTCGATGTGGCCCAGTCAAGCTAAGAGGTGATTTTTTGCGACCCCACAGTGTCTCGTTCGGAGAGGTCTCAGGCAAGTGAAGCTCTTCCGTTTAACTACCTGTGATTTTGTCTGTGGCTAGATTGGTATTGACAAACACCCAAAGTTGCCAGTTCCTTATTTCGTGCTTCGTTGCAGGAAGGCCCCTGCGCAGAAGTCTTCAGCTGGACCCTAGGCTTGATTTCCTTCATGCCACCTGCTTAGCGCTGAACCAATCATCGATGTCGTTTGTGAACTCATTCTTGTCCTCTGTCTGGACTTTCGACACACTGGGCTGGGTCCAGCACGTGCACAGCGTAGAAGAGCTGTCTCTTTGGGTCTGAGTTTTACAAAGTTGCCCATGCGTGTCTTAGTTGTTGCAGTTGCTGCTCCTGCATCCTTTACTTGCAGCACAGGGAAGTTCAAAAATCCACTCCAAATCGTGTTATCATGTTAGTTTGACAATTGAGCTAGCCACATATCCAGAAAAAAGAGAGAGAGAGAGAGAAGAAAAAAAACCAACGTGAGATACTCGTAGCTTGAAACATAACTACCCCAAAATTACACAGAACACTGAACACCACCTAATCCAGCACCCTTAGCCATCCTGACCAGCCGCCCGCCCGCGCCACCCGTTTTTTCTCTATCGCCTTGAAAGTGATCGCTGCCAGTCAGGCGCCTGCTCCAGACCACCCCTCTGTTTCACAGCGGCTCCTCCTCAGCCAGCTCAAAGCTTTCCATTGCGCGGCGCCGTGCAGCTCCAATTGCCATGGCCATTTTCTGGCCAGAAAGGCCACCGTCAGAAGGCCCAAACTCTTCCTTGGTGGCAGGCCTTGTGGCCACTGGGTCCTCCAGCCTTCCACAGCTCATATTTCGAGTCCTGTAAAAGTTGGCTGTCGCCATGTGCGGGCCACCACGAAGGGCCTTGCTTCTGAGAGGCATACCGTGGAAAGGCTTCAGCGAGCGCAGAGCATGGATCTGAAGCCCAAGTCTCATATCACTCGCCGCCATAGTCGTCGACCCTGCGCCAGTAGTGCCAGGTGACCTCACGGGGAACCTAGGCAAGGCTTTGCGACTATGTTTTGGTCAGATACCCGACGCAAATGTGCAAGCGTGCGCTTGTTAGACAAGAGTTTTAGCGCTTGATGAAGTGGCAACATTGCTTGGCAGGAAGATCAGCAGCAGCAGGCCTTTTCAGGCTACCCAACTTCGTTGCAGGCGCGACGCGCAAACTCATGACCTTGCCTGAACTATTTCAGGGTCAGGGAGATCCTGGCTCTTTGCCTCCAGCACTTTGGCGAGTTCTTCCGAACCAGTCCCCTTTCTTCCTTCTTCCTCTTTTGGGCCAGAGGCACTCGGCCGGCAAGATGGCGCCCATCTTCTCCAGTGATTCTGTTCCTTGGCTTCCTCAGCACAGGCTTTTCACATACCCGGTGTTTTTGCACCGACTGGACGCAAGCCTGGCCCAGGCCAAAGCTTTCTGCAAAGTCTGCGCTGGCATTTTATTGAAACCAGACTCGCTCCTCGTGGCCGTTCCAGCTTTCCTCGCGGAAAGCGCGAGGAAAGCAACCTCTCGGAACTCAAAATTGTTGCCTGGCCCAACTTCCTTTTTCTTTGGCCTTCTGCAGGTGTCCAGTGGCAGGTAAGGAGCGTGATGGGGCCTGTCAGCTTCAGATTTTCCCGCCTCTCCGCGCTGCTCACTCGAGCTGGGCCTCTTGCGCCGGGCGGCCCCAATCGGCTTCGCCTCCACATTCACGACGGCCTCGTGTTTGATTCCTTGTAAATGGCTGCAAGGCGCAACTGCAAGACTTGCCTAGATGTCATATGCTATATGGAGGAAGTCTGCAGCTTCAACTTCCAGAACAACAACAAACTTCACCAGCCGCGTTTCTAGTCTCCGCGGGTTTTCGACCCGAGGGTGCCTGTCGCCGCCCAAAAGGGAGTTTCTACGAATGATGTCTGGGTTCCATGTCAATCTGAGGTCAGCATCGGCACGAAGTGATCCTGCTTGACGCTTCACGGTTTGCGCCGGCTCAAGAAAGGAAGATGCTTGGAGCGCGGTCAATGCCGGCAAAAGGACACAGGTAAAGCGAGAGTTGAGATGAGCCGAACATAAAGAGTCGAGGCCAAATTGCGGCTTTGCATTATAGTTGTTTTCAAAATGTAGGTTCAACTCAGCCCAACCCAATTTGCCATTCATCTCGACTTAGGATTCCCGAATCTCAGCTCTAGAATTTTGTCGTCTTCGACTTTCGATTCCCGATTCGCAATTATTGATGTTTTATAGTCAATTATCACGATGACATTTATGGCCCAGAGGTACAACAAGTTGCATGATGTACAAACATGACAAGGACCCAGATGACATGCCCGCATGTCATTTGGCTCAAGTGCTGAAAAGAGCGCGTTGCTCGCGCTACCCACAAGGTTAAGGGAGAGGTCGCAGTCACGGAGGGGTTCGTTCCTTTTAAGGTCCCGGGTTCCCCCGTTGTTGACAAAACTGTGTTTCCCTCTCCTTTGAGTGGTTATCAGCCGTAACGCTTTTCGGGTAAACAAACCCCTGCGTGACTGCGACCGTTTGGTCGCACATGGAAGCCGGCCCTCACCGCGGCACTCGCGGTGGGAAGGGGCCGCGTGCCCGTCTATTCAACACTCTGCAACAGATCGTCGTTGACGAGTACAAACGGCAGGACAGACGATTCCGGTGGATCAGGTTTGCAGACGCCTCGAAGCAACAGATCGAGGCGCTCTTTTCCTGGCGTGAGTCATTGGATAATTGGCACCTGTGGGATTTTGACCAAGAGGCCTTCGAAGTGATCCAGGCCGCGGACAGCGCTTATCAGCAGCGTCTCGCATCGGTTGAAGCCGCAGGTGTGGTCTTGCCGCAAGGTGTGCAATCTCAGGATAAAGCCGCAGCCTCTGGCGCGGCGGGAGCAGCGAGCAGTGCAGCGGATTAGCTACGCCCTCCGACGCCTCCTTCAGCTTCATCCTGGCTTCAAGCTTCGCGCACTCCATTGCCTCGCATTCGACCATCAGCAGAGGAAAGACAAGTGTTGCGGGGCGCCGCCAAGACAGCGCTTCGCGGGGTGTACGCTAGAGCTGCGGAAACGCGGCGGGAGAGCAGCAGGGAACAGTCGCCACAAAGATCGAGGTCCCCATCGCCCCGAAGGTCGAGGTCTCCATCGCCTCCGAGACGAGGACCGACTGCTGCTACCCCTGTGGAACATCGGGCACACAGTGTTGAACCCGCGCTTGCGCGGGAGGGCAGGCCATCCAGGACTTCCCTTGCCACACGGCCCATTGTATTGGCTCCACAGAACAGTATATACCCTGTGACACGATTTGACGAGCACGGCACTTGGGTACTCGTTCGGGAGGCTTCACAGCCACGTGAGGCGACATCTCACCGCCGAGCACAGCGGACATCCGGACATCTCCGTCAGGCTGACCCGTATTCGCTTGCGGACGAGACGTGGAGAGATCCCCCAAGAAGATCATCCACAAGCTCGCGATCACGATCTCCAGATCGACGCCCAGGGCCAGCGGAGCACTATCGCCTCGACGCCTACAGCTCGGAAGAGGAACCTCCGCAGGACGCGGAATCCATCAGAACTGGCAGGTCAGCTTACGTGCCTCGGCGCGTATACGAGGCACCGACTCACACTGAGCCTATTGCTTTGCATAGCCGGAGGATTGGAGCAATTCAACCGCCGCCGCCAAAGGCCGCACCAAAGGTCATTTTTGGCAGCAAGCCTCCATTGCCCAAGGAACTTCCTCGTGCAGCTTCTTCGGCACCGGCAAAAGCAGATATTCCGAGGAAATCCCCGCCGCGAGCAAGGTCTCCTATTCGGACTCAGAGTGCATTCGGGTACAAGGCGCCTCCGCGAGGTTTGAACAAAGCCGAACCCAGAAGCAAATCGGGCTCAAACCCGCCACAAGGGTACGTCGTCAAGCCGCCACCGCCGCAGGTCGTTAAAGCAGCTGCTGCTAGCGCTGCAACTTCCGAGGCTGGCACACGCTTTCGATCGCCACCAAGAAGGCCACCACCTGCGCCACCCCCGCCGCCTGGAAGGCCTGTGCCGCCTAAGGAGCTTACCATCGCTCTTGACTGGCACGGAGTTCTTGACGTTGGGCAGCAGGGACCCCACCTCAACCCGGAGGTGATCCGGCATCTCGTTCAATTTGCAGCCGACTACGCACCTATAAATTTTATAGTGCTATCCTTCGTGGGCAGGGCTGCAAGCGAGTATCGCCGCCGCGAGTTCCAGGTCGCCCTGGAGCACGCGCGGACGACATCTGGACTCACTTTCTCTGCGATAAAAATCGTACACGAAAGGTTGGGTAGGGGAGGCAAAGCAGACGCCCTTCAGGGGCTGGGTGCCCACGCCCTCATCGACGATACAGCTGCGATTGTCCGCGAAGCTCAAAAGACAGGCATCGCAGCGTTCCGCAACTTCCCGCATTTCGGGCCGAGCGGATTTGCCAACGCACTTGAGAACCTTGGGGAGTACATCGAGTCCCGGAATCGACTTTTCATTCCGGCGGCAAGGGGCCTGCATCCATCGCAGTACCTCGAGGAACTCCATCGGTCTGCATCCCAGGTGCCCGCCAATCGGGTACTTCGATAGCCTTTTCTTTGCAAGCCGTTAAAACCGTCGCTTTGCGCGGTACAGCATCTTTGCAGCTACAGGCATTCGATTTGCAGACAAATTCTCAATACAGCTTGGCAACATCCCTCGATAAAGCACCATAGTGCGGCAGTGCGGATCAATCAATCTACAAGTACAATTTCAAATACAGAATTCATCAGGTGCAAAGCAGCAGGGCGTATTTTCTTGAGTGGCTCACTTGAGCGTTTCGCAACCAGCTGCCAATCCAGGGATATCTTCTCGTAGCACCTTTTGACACGCTGCTCAAAGCGCGTGGAGCTAGCTTCGTGTGAGTGCAAAATTGCATCGCTGTGTCATGGCTTCAACGGGCTTATCACCGCCATCAGAACCCCGTTCAAGGTCAACCCCAAATAGGGATTCTGAACCGGATGACCCTGACCTAGCCATGGTTCCTGCAGCTATGTCCACAGTTCGCACATCCACACCTCAACGAGCAGCCCAAACACGACCATCATCACCCCCGAGTGGTCCGATCGTGTCAGAACCTACATCATCCGAAGCTTCCCCAGCCATTCAGTTTCCTTCACAGGGATCGCAATTACCTGACCCGATGACTAACGTACCCGCTGCGGCATTTATAGCTGGAGCTGCGGTGCAGCAAGCTCATCGAGCATCCGACCTCGCTGCTCAGGCAGCCAATCACGCCTTGCACCAACAGCAGGCCGCCGACCAGGCGAGACAAGAGGCCGGATGGATCAGGGAAAGGGCTGTAAGAGAAGTATCAGACGTTAGGGTTCAGGCCGCTCAGCTAGCTTCGCAAGCACAGCAGGCTGTACAAACAGCACAACAAAGTGAGGCTCAGGCTAGGCAACTAATCGAGCAGACACGACAGGAAGCCATTGGCCATGTCGAGAACGCACGACAGGTTGTTAATGCCACTCAACAGGACGCTCAGCAAGAGGTTCAACGCATTGTTCAAGAGGCTCAACAGGCAATCTCACAAAGAGAACAAACCATTGCCAGTCAAGAGCATACCATTCGTGGATTGTCCCAGGAAAATTCTGTGATGCATCAACGACTTGGTGATCTCGAACGTGTTGTTGCGCACCTCACCCAACAAGCTCGTGCGACCCCTGTTCCGATTCAAGAGTCCCCGCCAAAAGCCGCATCAATAGCCGAAACAGCTACGGAAACAAGCGCGGCTAAAGCCTCAAGTCAGGGCACAGTTCCCCCAGGAACCCATCAGCCGGTTGGAGCACCTCAGGTTTCAGATTCACAAGATGCCTCCGGTGTTGCCGCATCGTCGCAAGGGAATGCTTTTACAAGTACTATCCCCGACCCTCCGTGTGGTTCTGTTCAAAGTTCAGGACTTGGTCACGATGCCCCAGCTGATTCAAGGGACCCTGGTGGGGGTGCAACAAGTCAACATCTCGTAGGCCATTCGGCAGTGCTAGGAGCAGCGTCCTCTGTTGGAGACGCAGCCCCCGGCGCGTCGAGGACTAGCGGGTTGGGTAGAGACGGTACAAGGGATCAAGCCGATGTGAGAGTGCAAGTGACGGCTTTAGCGGAAATGGTTCAGCAGCTTTCCCAATTGGTTGCTAATCAAGTGGCTCCGCCACCTCCGCCTCCGGCCGCACCACCTCCAGCGCCTCCCACGCCCCTCGCAGGGGCGCCGCCTCCGCCAAAAGCTGGCGACGGCACTCGTGTTCCGCCAGTACCAATCACAATGTTGGGAGGGTTGTACTCGTCATCCCCACAAGCGCCATCGGCCGCTAGCTCCGACTCATCATCAGACTCCGATGGAGATGATGATACCCCACAATGTCGAGTTTGCGGCGGCAGCCATGAAGACACGGATTGCCCACACCTCACCATGAATGGTGGTGGGGGAGGTGGGGGAGGCTCTGGCCAGTTCCCCAATGCAGACCCGTCTCAAGCTGCCGATCCCAGTGTAGGCATGACCGCCGTAGATCACGCCGCATATGAGGAGTCCGTTGTTCGCGTCAAGGATCTCAAGGATCTCGTGTTACCATCCCCTCCGGAGAACGCTGGACAGGCTAGAGGTTTCGTCAACCAAGTTTTGATGGCCATCGGTCGACTCCAGAAGACCCCCGGAGATGAAGTTTACCAGTGGGCCCAAGCATGCATGTCCTCCACCGAGCAAGAACTCATCGCGGACAAGCGTTTCCCACGGTTAGATCGTGAAGTAGCCGCAAAGCTCCTTAAAACCTGCCGCAAAGGTAAGTTCGGGCTCTTGTTTCAAAACATGGTTGAACAAGAGAGAATCTCGTCAGGTGGGATGCCCGTAGGGAGAATCATGTTGCGTGCCATCTTCAAGCACTTTCAGTTGGAACGAGGTAGGATCGGAACCTTAGGAGGTCGTAACTTGTTAAAGTTGTCTCTTGCAGGTCCGTCCCTTGCTGACTTGGATGCCTTTCGGGAGAAGTACGTTTACGTGCTGAC